AACGAAGACATTTCGCTGCGGCGGGTCGAGCTGGCGTCGTCCAAGGAGCTCATCCGGCTGGCCGAGCAGGTGGTCAAGGTGTTCGCCCGCTCCAAGGTCGCCCTCGCCGAGGAGTGGGCCACGGAGGCCCTCACCTGGGCCATCTCCTGCCCCTCCTTCCACCTCGTCAACCGCTCCTACCAGATGTACCGGTATGCACACCCAACGACCGACCCAACAGCGACCAACACAACACACGACATGGGGCTAACATTCCGTTACAGAGCGCTGTTGCCCTACGCCAAGGAGGTCAAGATCACGCCGATCGACATGCTCGAGTCCATGCTAGTCCGCATCGGAGACCGCACGTCCGAGAATCTGTCGGTGTCCCTCGAAATCCTCCTCACCCTCCAGGTACGCACCACTCCTCCTCGCCCCCACTTGTGCGCTGGTGCGCGTGCGGTGGTGTGTGCGGCGCGCGTGCTAATCGTGTGTTTGTGGTGTGTATGTGTGTGTTGTGTGTGTGTTGTGTGTGTGTTGTGTGTGTGTTGTGTGTGTGTGTGATGTCAGGCGATCGTGGATTCGCTGGACACGGCCAAGCTGTGGCTGTACCCGCAGATCTTCTGGGCGGCCATCGCGCTGCTGCACTCGGACTTTGAGCAGGAGTTCCACCTGGCCATCAAGCTGCTGACCAAGATCGTCACCCGCTTCAAGGGCTTCTCGGACATCGCCGCCCAGAACGTGTTCCTTACCTACAGCCCCAAGGGCTGGGAGCCGCCCTTCGAGGGCGTCCAGAAGCTCGTCCTCCGCGGCATCCTCTCCGTCGAAACCCTCGCCTCCTCCGTCGAGGTACGCCGCCACCTCGTCGTCGTCCTCACCACCACCACCACCACCACCTCCTCCACCACCACCTCATCGCGTTTATCTAATATCACTGGGTTCTCTCTCTCTCTCTCTGCTTCTCGCAGCTGCTGAGCAAGTTCATCCCCATGCAAAGCGAGAAGCTGTTCGAGCCAGAGCCCCTCCGGCTTCAATCCAACATCGTGCGCACCCCCCCCCTCCCTCTTTCCCCACACACACGCACATAAATTACTTTTTTATGTTTGCTGTTATAATACTATTTATTACTCATTATTATTCGTTATTATTCATGGCTGTCGCGCTGACGATGTGATGCGGGTGGTGCGCAGCTGGGCCTGGTGGTGTACATGGGGCTGCACGTGGGCGAGGAGAACGCGGCGCACGAGTGCTACGGGATGGCGGGCGCGCTGGCCGAGGCGTGCCTGGCGACGTCGCAGAGCAAGCTGGGCAAAATCTTCTCGCACTACCGCAAGAAGCAGTACCCCAACATGGAGTCCTTCTTCGACGAGCTGGCCAAGGCCTTCGTCGAGGCCTTCTTCCCCACCCACGCCGCCACCGCCTTCAACTTCCTCTTCGACGTACTCGACAAGCTCGAAGAAAATTGGAAGGGTGCGTCATCGACCGAGCGATCGTGTGCGCGTTGTGCGTGTGCGTGCGTGCGTGTGCGGTGGTGTGTGCGGTTGGTAGTATGTTCACGCCATGTTTTCCGTTCGAACGCAGGAGGGAGCGCGGTGGCGGCGGCGGGCTATCACAAGGCGGTGCTGGTGCTCCTCCGCTACCTCACGGCCGAGGTCGACCTCGTGATCCTGCCCCAGCCCAAGGTGCATTACCGCACACACGAACACACGCACGACGCACGACACACACGACACACACGACACACACGCACGACACACACACGACACACACGACACACACGACACACGCCGCTTGCGCAACAAAACTCAAGCTGCCTACTTTTGGGAACGCGTGCACGCGTGCAGTTGGCCAAGTGGCTGTCGTGCCTGGCGCGATTCGTGACGGCGAACTCGTCGCTGTGGAAGGACGCCCTCCGCGTGCTCGAGTGCATCGTGCACCGCTCCGAGCTCTCCCTCTCCCAGATCTTCACCACCAACTTCCGCCCCCTCCCCTACCGAGCCCTGCGCTCCGAGGTACCCCCCCCCTCTCACCGCACGACACACGACACGACACACGACTCACTTGGCGTGTTGATCAATTTCTAATGTGTGCCACTCGACACAGTTCGTGAACCAGGTGCACAAGGGCAACGCGCGGGTGAGGGACACCCTCAAGCTGGTCCTCAAGTCCGCCGATCAGAAGGAGAAGGCCTCCCTCATCTCCCGCGAGTTCTTCGAGTGGATGGTACGCCCTGCGCCCCCCCCCCGCAGTCGGCGGTAGTGATGATGATGAATGATTGGAATGTGAATATGTGAATTAATGTGTTGTGGGTGCAGCTCAAGCTTTCGCCGGAGGAGGAGGCCGAGGAGGAGTCCGGCGCACAGAGTCCGCTCGAGGTCCACGAGGACTCGGAGGAGGACGAAATCGATCTCACCGAGTTCCAGGACGTGTTCAACGTCTTTGGAGGCGGCATCGGAGCCGGCGGAGGCGCCGACAAGCTGGCCCAGCGGCCGCCACGACCCGGCGGATCTCAATTCCCGCCCGCCGAGATCGACATGAATGGTACACGCACCACCGCACACGCACACGCACACGCACACGGCGTCCGCTGACAGCGAGGGTGACGCATGCACCGCGTGGATCAGATTACCTGGAGAAGGCGGAGGTGTCGCCGCGGGAGAAGGAGAAGAGCGGCAAGGGCGAGGCCAACGGGAAGAAGGACAAGAGCGGCAAGGCCGAACAACGGGGAAGCGACGCTGTCGACAGCAGCGACGAGTCGGCCGAGAGTTCCAACCTCCACGGATCCGACGAAATCACCGCCCTGGGCGGCAGCGCCGAAGCTGTACGCCCCCCCTCCACCACCACCACCTACTGCACTTTACAGCGCACGACACGACACGACCAACGACCCGACCAACAACACGACCGGCCTAACGACGAATGGTGTTTTCGGTGGGCACAGGGGCTGCCGTTGGACATCCGGTCGGTGTCGCGAAGGTGGCGCAAGCTCTCGGAGCAGCGGAGGTTCGCCTCCGAGGCCGACCTCTTCGAAATCTTCCCCGTCGCCGGTACGATGAGCTCCCCCTCTCCTAATTATTGGTGAGTACGCGTTGACTGTGTTTGACCCGTTGGTCACGTGGTGGTGGTGGTGGTGGTGTTGGTGGTGGTGTTGGTGGTGGTGGTTGCAGGGCAATTGCTGAACCTGTTCACGCACGACTACCGGGAGTACTACCGGGCGCACCTGGACGACGTGCCCACCCTCGCCGAGAAGCGGCTCCTCCAGTCGCCCGTCCTCTCGGCCGACGCCCTCGACCTGCCCCTCTTCCAGGTCCGTCACTCCCCCTCCATTCCAGTCCCAATTGTCAACATTCCAAGCGTGGCTGACATTCCGACATTCTTATGTGGTGTGTGCGGTGGTGCGTGTGCGTGTGCGGTGGTGCGTGTGTGCGCACACAGGCGCCCATGGAGCAGGCGCGGTCGGTGCTGTTCTCGATCGTGTGCTCCAAGTACCGGTCGCTGGTGGAGGCCAACGAAAACTTTTCGCGCACGTTCGCGGAGAAGCGCGCGCAGCTGGTGGAGGCCCTCAACCAGCAGCAGCGGATCTATCTGGACCAAAAGGCCGAGGTCGACGCCAAGCGGGCCAAGCTGCCCAGCAAGGACCCCGACCAGACCGGCGGTCCCGACGCGTCGCGCGCGCGCCTCCAGATCGTCCAGTTTTGCATGAACATCGTGCGCCTCCACTACCAACTCCTCCGGCTCTACCAGATCAACTGCTCCCTCCAACAGCTTGTCACCGGCTTCTTCGACCCCTCGGGGGTACCCACCCCTCCACTCCCCGTCGACACACGACACACACGACACACCACACACGACACGACACACACGACATGTCGTTTCCTAAAGATGTGCGTGGGTTGTACAGGGCGACGAGTCGGAGGAGGCGGAGAAGCAGAGGTCGCTGTTGGAGAAGGAGATGGACAGGAACACGGCCATCGCGCGCCAGCTCACGTCCAAGGAGCGGGAGCTCATCTCCGCCCTCCCCGAAATCAAGAGAGAACCGCCTTCGTGAGCAGAATCCCCTCTTCGTTCTTCTCTTCTCTTTCGCTCTTCTTCTGCCGCTCCTTGCTTCTTCCTCCTCTCAGCCCGTCTCTCTTCCCCTCGTGTGGGTGGGGGTGGCGGAGGGCGAGTGGTGTACACTTTTGAACTTGCTCCAGCCAATGCAATCATCTCCTTCCTTGTACCAGCGTCGCGAGCCCATGTTGAATCCTCCGCGCTGACTTCAGGGAACAACAACCAAAGCCAGCGGCCTGCCGAAATTTTAAGTGCGACTATGAAGAAGCAAGGTAAGGGGGCTGATGAGGCGGAGGCCCGAGAGCGCGAGATGCTACTCGCGGTGTGGTGCCAAGTGCGTCTCCTCTTTGTAGGCGCCCGAGACGATGGCAGCCCTCTCTCGCGTCTGCCGCCCGAGCTGGTTGTCGCCATCGCCCGCCGGGCGCAGGTGCGGCCCGTGTGCTACGCCACTCGCTGGCTCGACCAGATACGCGAGGCAGCGCGCAAGAGCCCCGACGGTGCGATCCACACGTGGACCGAGCGGAGTTCGCTGGGCCAACAACAAGATGACCCTCCGGTCCGGCGTGGCTATGTGCTCGAGTACCGCGCGGCGCCGCGGCACGGCCAGAGCCGCAGCTCGAACGCGAAGGAGCAGTTCACGGTGTACCGGTGGGAGAGCACCGAGAAGAGCTTTGGCGCCATCGTGGCGCTGAGCGCCCACACGAAGATCGTCACGGGCGACCTCCTCCCGCCGGAGAGGTGGACGGTGGCGCGGTTCCTGGGCAAGGCCAGCTATGACCCCCACTGGCATCTGTGGTTCCGCGCCTCGCACTGGCTCACCCTCGTCCCCAGGCCGGGTACAGCACGACGAAGAAGAAGAAGATACACGACCGCAATGAAGTGCGAGATGGAATCTATGCAGCTGATGTGTTTGACTTTACAAGCTTTTGAATATACAAGACAATGATGATGATGATGAATGATGATGATCGCTAGCTGAACATCTTGATGGAGTTGTCGGAGGAGGCGCTGTAGAGGCCGTCGTCGTCGACCACGAGGGCCTCCACGCTGCTCGTGTGTCGCTTGAGGGTCTGCACGCACCGGAAGTTGTCGAGGTTCCACACCTTGATGTGGTTGTCGTAGGAGCCCGTGAAGAGGCGTCGCTGGTGGATGCACACCGCGTAGACGGCGCCCATGTGGCCGGCCAGCGCCCGCACGCACTCGAAGGTGTCCAGATCGAACACCATGATCGCGTTCTCGTAGGTGCCCGCCAGGATGTAGCGGTCGGCGACGGCGATGGAGTAGATGCTCCCGTAGTGGCCGGTGAGGTTCTTGATGCACCTGAACGCGCTCACGTCCCACACCTATGGCCGGCCATTTTCGGCGCATTACGTACACAACATTAGATAAATAGAACACACGCCTATTTAACATTTAGATAAAGATTAAAGACTATATGAGTGTGGGCGGGGAGGGGTGCCTTGATGAGGTTGTGGCAGCCGCTGTAGAGGATGCCGTTGGATACGCAGAGCGCGCGCACCCAGTGGTTGTGTCCCTTGAGCGTGGCGATGCAGGCGAACGTCTTCACGTTCCACACCTGCAGACGACGCAATGCGCGCATGACGCGCGGTTAGCGACGACGGTGACGACGACCGATGCTGGCGGCGGCACGCCCCGCGGCGCTATGGAAACAATCCGAGAGTGGGCGTGCCTTGATCTCGGTGTAGCTGCCGGAGAAGAGGAGGTTGCCCTCCACCACCAGCTTGCAGATGGTGTTGCCGTGGCCCGTGATCGTGCGCTCGAGCTTCATCGTCTTCAGATTCCACACCTGGAGTGACACACACACACACACACACACGACACACACACACACAAGGTCAGGTATTTCTTTCTCGCGTGCCTGCTTCGATCGAGAAATGTGAAGAGGTGGTCGTACGCGGATGGTCTTGTCCGACGAGCCGCTGATGAGCTTGCGCCCGACCACCACCACCGCGTGCACGATTCCGCCGTGGCCCACCAGTGTGTTCCGCGTCTTGAACGTCGCGAGGTCCCAAATCTGTTGCGAGGCGTGTGCGGTGGTGCGTGTGCGATGGTGTGTGCGTGTGTCAGAGAAGAGAGAAGACGAGCGAGGGGACGGGGGGGAGGGGACAAACGCGAATGGTCTCGTCGGAGGATCCGCTGACGAGCATCTGTCGCTTCTTGTTGACCGCCAACGCCCAGACGGGGCCGTCGTGGCCATTGAACTCGCCCTTCAGCTTGAAGCTGTGCGAGTCCACGTCCGTCTCTGTAGCGCCGGACCAGAGTCAGCCCAGCGCCCACGCGACCCAGCCATTGGCGGCGACGCATCAAATATGCAAAGAACGCCGAGGGCAAGAGTGAGGGCCACACACCTTCGGGCGGAGGTGCCGATCGGCCGAGTACGGCCGGGGGCATGACGGTGCTCTGCGAGGGCGGCCGCAGCACGGTCGGACCCATTGGGCGGATGTTCGTGCGCTGGCCGTCCGTGAGCCGCTGGATCACCGAATCGTAGTGCGCTTTTGATAAAACACGAACCAGTCAGCATACACGACACACAACATAACACGACACGAAACGACACGCATGGCACGACACGACACGACACAACACGACCAACGACACGGCACGACCAACCAAGTACCGGTCTTGGCGTCGAGCGTGGTGACGAGCTCCTGTAGGCGGGTGGTGAGCTGGGCGACGGTGTCGGTCAGGGCCATGTTCTCGAGGCGCTGCTCGCGGAGGCGACGGACGAGGTTGGCCCGGTCCTCCTCGTACTTGGCCAAGAAGCCCCGGAGGCCCTCGTACACGCACGCCCGGAGGTGGGCCTCGAGCTCGGCCTCGGCGCCCTCGAACGCGCAGCCCACGCCGCGGTGTGGGCACGGGATGTGTGCGCAGGTGCGCGTGTGCTGCGCGACGGTCATGCGGCGGAGGCTCGACGCGTCGCAGTACGGGCACTGGGCGGGGGCGTAGGGGCAGGCGGCCTCGTGCAGCCGCCGCGCGCCGAGGGGCACCACCTCGGGGCAGCCGTCGGGGTCGGGCACGAGCTCGTGCTGAGCATGAGCCTCTACGTCGCCGCCATTTGATGATGATGATTCGGATGGTGCGAGTAGTCGCTTGACGCCGTACCTGCATCGAATGGGGAGCTCGCGTAGCTGGCCCGCGACGGCCAGATTGGGGAAGACGCGGTCGGCATCGAGCGAGGTGCCGTCCACGGGACAAGCCGCGGGAGAGCCCAGCTTGCTGGGTCCCACTACGCAGGCCCGACAGAAGGAATGGCCGCAGGGCGCGATTACGGGATCGACGAGGAGGCCGTCGTGTAGCGCGCATCGAAGCGAATCGGAAGGAGGTGAAACGAAGAGGAGGGGAGCATCGTCATCTTCATCCTCATCCTCGCTAAGGCCTTCCTCATCGCTACTGTCACCGTCTCTGCAGCTCGTGTGGCGTACAAGCCGAGCCGAGCTGCCGATCTTCCAGTTGGTGGGTGTGCGCCCGAAGCCACTACTGCTGCTTTCCCTACTCATCGGTGGGGTCATCATTAACGCTTTGCTGCTTGCCGAAGCCACCTTGACGATCTTCGGATTGCTGATGTGTGTTATAAGAGGATGGCTGCCCTGCTTGCGCGCTAGGGATGTGGGCAGCAACTCATCGTGTCCCATTGGGCCATCCTTCGAGCCGTTGCTGCTGTTCGACGTCGTCCTCTCCATAGACCGAGCGGTTTGCGCTGTGAAAAGAAATTGATGTGGAAAATAAATAGCAACGGAGAGCACAAGCGCCTTTCCTTTCTTCGTCGCGAAGGCGAGCTTGCCCAAATTCCTTCGCCTCTCGGCCCTTTGTGGAAGCGTAACGGTCTTCTTGCGAACTCATCGACATCGAGGATATAGAATGTACAATTTTATTTTATTAATTGTATATGATGGCTGCTAGTGCCTTTGGGGTCGTCCTGTACTGTCGATTGAGAGTGCTCTACTTACAAAATTGAGTCGGAAATCGTTGATCTCGTCGAGATGGTGGTACGATCGGCGAAGATGCTTAGCCGCCGAAGCCGTAGAGGGTGCGGCCCTGCCTCTTGAGCGCATAGACGACGTCCATGGCAGTGACGGTCTTCCTGCGGGCGTGCTCGGTGTAGGTCACGGCGTCGCGAATGACGTTCTCGAGGAAGACCTTGAGCACACCGCGGGTCTCTTCGTAGATCATGCCCGAGATACGCTTGACACCACCGCGGCGAGCGAGCCTACGGATGGCGGGCTTGGTGATACCCTGGATGTTGTCGCGGAGCACCTTCCTGTGACGCTTGGCGCCGCCGAGGCCCTTGCCACCCTTGCCGAGACCCTTGCCGCCCTTACCGCGTCCGACGTGAGACATCTTGCTTGTGGTTGTTGTGAGAACGTGTTGTGAATCTTGACGTTGGCTCTTGCAGTTTTGTTCTTGCCGCGAAAACACAGGTCGCTTCCTATTGGGCACTAGGAAGACCAACCAGAAATCGAATACAAAAAACCATGTCGACACCAAAAGTCGAGTCTGATTGGTAGTTGTGTTTGGAGGTCTATCGCGGGTAATAGAATGCCGGAAGGTCGACGACAGACAAAGATGGAACGGAGAGGCGTTCGCCTCGCATCCATTCGAGAGGAAAGGAAGATAGAGTCGTGGAGTCAGCTATGGCGAACACTACTATGCGGCGGCATTGCAGGATGCGTGGTTTGTAGGTCTTTACTTTGTGCATGCATTCTTCCTGGAAGTGCCGTACCTCACATCTCCTTCCCCATCGCAGGCTAAGACGACTACCGCGCCTCTTGAGCGAGTAAAGATCCTGTTCCAGGTTGCCACGATCCATTACCCATTCAAGGGGGTGGTCCCCACGCTGCGTCGCATCGTGGAGAGGGAGGGATTTAGGGGCCTCTACAAGGGCAACGTATCGTCCCTCGTGCGGATCTTTCCCTACGCGGCCACTCAGTTTGCGGCATTCGACATCTTCAAGGCCGCCCTCACCCCCAAAGACGCCGGCATTTCGGGATTGGCCAACTTCCTGGCCGGTGCTGGCGCTGGTGCGACGGCTGTGGCATTCACCTACCCACTCGACGTCACGAGGGCGAGGCTTGCCGTGCAGGTACCGCGCACTTCCCACTCGCCACGCCGGAGCATTTGTTTTATGATTGACTGACCGTGGCATGAAGGTGGAGAAGAGGCACTACACAGGCCTCGTGCACGCCATACAGAACATGTGGCGACACGAAGGAGGGCTGAAGGCTTTGTACAGGTACCGTCCCCCCCTCTCTTGTCTCTTGCCATTCGTCTGCTCTACTCACAAGGCTCGGGGTTCCTCCGTCCTTGCAGAGGGTTGCAACCGACCATGTTCGGCATACTTCCCTACGCCGGCATCAACTTCTTTACCTACGATACTCTCAAATGGTACGTGTCAGAGACACATGCACCCTTCCCTGCCACCCGTGCACTCAATCCTCGATCTGCACCTCTCTCGCTTAGGTACTACTCCAAAAAGCTGAGAATCGCCGCCAACGGTGACCCGCCACCACCGATTCCCACCACCCTCCGCCTCGCCTTTGGTGCCGTGGCTGGGGCGCTCGGACAGACTCTCACCTATCCTCTCGACGTGGTTCGATCTCTTTCCTCTCTTTCTCTTTTCTGCTCCCGGTCGCTTC